TTCTATCCAGTCTAGGCACTGGTGTTTCATTCCAAATATTGATTTCAGAACCAAGTCAAATGAGAATGAAACTCTTAACCTATTGTTCTCCCATATCCCCAATTTTTTAAATTCCTGGGATAGATGATTGATATCAAAGTAAAAATGACAGTATTAGATTTATAATTATTTAGAGTATCAATTAAAGTAAAAATAGAACCAAATCTCAGAGCCAAATGAACACTGCAACATTTACAAATCACATACCAACTCCCTCGTGCAATAACAATCTATGTCATTAACTGATCACAGACTCAGTTTAATTGGCAAAAATTTAAGAAAAAGAGAAAACGGCATCATGGCATCAGGTTTTTCTGGGTCTGAAAACAATTCTTTTTAATTGTTTGGACTTTCCCATCTTAAAATCTGATTAGGTCCTGCCAATTGAAACCCTTAAGTACGTTGAAACTATTGACATTTTTGTAACGATGGTCCTATAGCCCCCAGGTCCCCAACTCTGAGCCTGAAAACTTCCAACTTCATATTTCTATGTGTCAGGGATTTTCTCCATGCCCCACATTACTCCTACATTCTTGTACCTCAATTCTGAATTACATAGGCTCAGTTAAAGGACAGTTTCTGCTCTTTTTCATAGAAAGTTAATTCACAATAATAGGTGTGACTGTGAAATACATATTTGGTTTTCATCTCCTTTGTTTCCTGACATAGAGCTCTGAAAAGCCTTGGAATCTCCTGAGCAATACGTGTCAATTTTTGTATGCTAAAGAACAGACTGATGGTTGGGCTAGGGGCTCCTAGGTAGCTTCAGGATTGAGACTGGTCACTGAAAAGACCAAAGCATTATAAAAGGGCTGGAACATTCAGCTCCATCTATCAAACTCTCGTGGGGTAGAGAGACTGAAGGTTAAGATGAAGGTATACCCCATACCTCACCATAACAACTTCTTCATCTAATATTCAGCTGTATCCTTTGTAGTATCCTTTATAAGAAACTGTTAAATGTAAGTAAAGTATTTCTGGAGTTCTGTGAGCCATCCTAGTAAGTAAATTAAATTCAAGGGAGGCGATCACAGGAACCCTGATTTATAGCCAGTTAGTTAGAAGTATAAGTGGCAAGATACTTACAACTTGCAACCGGTATCAGAACTAGGAGGCAGTCTTATAAACTGAGCCTTCAATCAGTGGGATCTGACACTACCTCCAGCTAGATAGTGTCAAAATTGAATTGAATTAGAGGACACCCAGCTAGTGTCCACTGCAGAATTGGTTGCTTGCTGGCTGGTACGGACACATCCCCACACTTCTTGATGACTAGAGGTAAGATTTTATGTTTTAACAATTAGAGTAGCGGAAAAAAAAAAAAAACTGATCTTTCCTACACCAAAATAGTCAGTGGTCTGAAAAACATTCACAGGATACCCCTGCTCACACTTACTATTCCCTTCTGATATGGTATGGCTCTGTGTACCCACCCAAAACTCATCTTCAATTGTAATTCCCACATGTTGGGGCAGGGACCTGGTGGGAGGTGATTAGATCATGGGGGTTCCCCCATGCTGTTCTCATGATAGTGAGTGCGGTCTCATGAGATCTACTGGTTTTATAAGGGGCTTTCCCCCACTTCAGTGTACACTTCTCTCTCCTGCTGCCATATGAATAACATGTTTGCTTCCATTTCTGCCACGACTGTAAGTTTCCTGAGTCCTCCCCAGCCATGTGGAACTATGAGTCAATTAAATTTCTTTCCTTTATAAACTACCCTGTCTCAGGTATGTCCTTAAAGCAACATGAAAACAGATGACTATACCTCCTCTTCATTTGTGTTTGCCAAGTTTTTATATTTTAGTTTCTTTCTATCACCCTAAGTGATGTCATTTGTTGCTTGTTCAAAAATTCCTTCCTCCTCTAGCTCCTGATTCCTGCAGAAGACTTCTGGCTCTTACACTTGCACATCACATAGGCTCCTGAAGACTTGAATTAGACTTGTTTTTGAAACCTTAAAAGTTGGTACCTTAAAAGTTTATGCCTCCCTTTCCATTTTCGAGAGTCTCTTTTCATCTTTTGCTTTTCCCTGGCTTTGGTATACATGCCACTCTGATTCTCCAAATGTCTTCTGTAAGCACCGTGAAGACCTAGATCTCCTTTTCTCAAGTTTTGCCTTGCTGCCTGAACTTTATATAAGCTCAACTGAGTTTGGAAATTATCAAAATGTTCCCAAATTTGTTCTTACTATGCTGTTACTATGCCTTCTATTTTCTACAGTTTCTACTTCTATTCTATTTTCTGCGGTTTCTTTCTTAGATACAAGTTTATTAACCTGGGTTTGTTTATTTACTTTAAAAAAAAAAAAGGTTTAAAAGTTTCCTCAAAAAGAGTCAAAATTAGACCCTGATTTTCAATTTTTACCTTCCATGCTGTAAGGATTATTAAAACATATACACACACACACACACACACACACACACACACACATATACAATATTCTGAAGACTTCCATTTAACCAATGTTTTCCCAATATCTCTAAGCAAATAATGGCTTTCAGACCAGAATATTGCATGAAAAGAGTTTTACATATTTTTTCCAGCTCCTGTAGATTTTCCTTCATCATGAGCTAACTTAGTTTTTTTAATTACCTAAATAATAAAGGGTCTTATTTTTTATTATAAGATTTTAACCTCCAACACACTTGGTTGGAGATCTTCATAGCCATAATGAAGTTCTATTTAAAGTCAAGTAGAGGTCTGAAGATCCCTAAGCAATGAAAAAATAAAAATAAAAATAAGGGAGACTATGAACATCCACCAACCAAGCCATGCAAGTAACCATTATTTTCATGAGAACATATGTACTCATGCAATGTATGATATCCCTAAGCTCCACTGAATGCTCTCAAGCAGTCAGCACTGAAATGCAGAATAAATGAGGCTGAATAGAATGCAGAGAGGCTACAATCATTTGGTCCTGCCCCTTCTCCCTACTTGACTCTCAAGACAGTGAAGAAGGACATTGGAAAACCTAGGAAACAAAGTACTCTATGCCTCTTAAAAGCTTCCTGAGAAATACTGAAAAAGAAAAAAAAAAAAAACTTGAAGCCAATATTCTGAAATGGCATAAACCAAAATAACTCACTTGTCTTCACAAACATCAGAGATGACGGAAAAGTAACAGAAAGCAGAGCATCTCTAACATACCTCTCTTGAGACCTACAAATTCTAGAAGTGAATAAAAAATTATTTAATCCAAATATTAGCATATCATGAACTTTCAAACTTGAATTAAAATATGTGAATCAATCTATGTTTTTCCAGCCAATAAATTTATTGTGAATCTGATTTAAATTATTCCAGTATTTTATGAATTATTACTACTAAATATATTTGCACATTATTTCCTACAGCTAAATCATTACAATGTCTATGTCCTAAATAGAATACTATGCCTGCAAGAGATAGATTAAAAGTTATTAATGACTCTCTTAGCTGAGTATTATCATTTACTATAATTGAATTTCTTTAAGAATTTAGCCCAATAATATACTATTATTAAATATATACAGAACAGTACAAGTAAAACATACCAGGGAAACAATGTCTTTGACCTTCAAAAACTCAGTTTAATTACTTAACCAATCCAATTTATGGTCAACAATGCAGAACAGCTGTTTACTGTAGGATTCAAATACATGTGGTTTGTGCTGCATTTGAAACTCCTCGAGACCAATTCTGCAATCTATTATATGTCAAGCTATATCTCATATCTCTTATTGCTATACATTTTAATTTTGGATGATATTTATACCCAATTATTATGGTCTTTCTCAACATGGCCTACATTCAGAATTAACAGATTATTGTATCTTTACCATCGTTTATTTGAATGGGAAGGAAAGTCTTCATTTAATGTAGTTCCAGTTTTGAAAAGATTTTTTCAATTAACTAAAAAAACTTATTCCTAGTGTAAAATCACAGAGTATATAACAATATTATTGAAATGAACTATCCTAAGATAAAATTATTTAGGTTTGTGATTTACAAAGATTTACAAGATTGAATTGAACTAACTAGAGATACAATTCACTTTTTTCTCTGAAATCTGAAAGTTTTTTGTGTTTTAACAAGGGTTTTACTTTGTGCATTCTTTTTTTATTGTTACATAATATTTTACGTATATATGAGGTACATGCGATATTTTGTTCCATGCATAGAATGTGTAATGCTCATGTCAGCATGTTCAGGGTATCCACCACCTTGAGTATTTCTATCGCTGGAATGCATTCATTTTTTAAACTTTATTTTTTGTTATTTTTAAATTTTTGATTAAAAATTATTTAACAAAATATATTCAAAATTTGTCATTTAAAGAAATAGTCAATGTTTTTAAAATAGGGAATTTTTTTGCTTTTATTTTGAGGGGTTTTTGGTAGTTTTTAAACATTCATTTTAGTTTAGGGGTACAGATGTACATTTGGTTTATAGGTAAATTGCATGTCACAGAGGTTTGGTGTACAGAAGATTTCACTACCTAGCATAGTATCCAATAGGTAGTTTTTCAGTCTTTCCTTCCTCCCATCTTCCACTCTCATGTAGGCCTCAGTGTCTGTTGTTTTTGTCTTTGTGTCCTGGTGTTCTCAATGTTTAGCTCCCACTTATAACTAAGAACATGCAGTATTCACTTTTCTGTTTCTGCTTAAGTTTGCTTAGGATAATGATCATCAGCTCCATCCATGTTACTGCAAAGGACATTATCGTATTTGCTTAGGGTAATGAACTTCAGCTCCATCCATGTTACCACAAAGGACATTATCTTATTCTTTTTATGGCTGTGTAATATTCCACAGTGTATATGGGCCACATTTTCTTTAACCAGTCTACACTGATGGGCATTTAGGTTGATTCCACATCTTTGCTATTGCGAATAGTGCTGCAATAAACATACATGCTTGTATCTTTATGGTAGGATAGTTTATATTCCTTTGGGTATATACCCAATAATAGGATTGCTGGGTCAAATGGTAATTCTGTTTTAAATTTTTTGAGAAATTGCCATACTGCTTTCCACAATGGCTAAACTAATTGACATTCCCACAAGCAGTGTATAAGAGCTCCCTTCTTCCACAACCTCACGAGCATCTGTTATTTTTTGACTTTTTAATCATAGTCATTCTGACTAGTATGAGATGGTATCTCGTTATGGCATTGATTTGCATTTCTCTAATGATTAATAATATTGAGCAATTTTTCATATGTTTGTTGTCCATGTACATATATGTCTTCTCTTGTAAAGTGTCTCCTCCTGTCCTTTGCCCACTTTTTAATGAGGCTGGTTGTTTTTTGCTTGTTGAATTAAGTTCCTTACAGATTCTGTATATTCTACCTTTGTCAGATGCATAGTTTGCAAATATTTTCTCCCTTTCTATAGGTTTTCTGTTGACTCTGTTGATAGTTCTTTTGCTGTGCAGAAGCTCTTGCTTAGTTAGATCCAATTTGTCAATTTTCGGTTTTGTTGCAGTTGCTTTTGGTGCCTTCATCATTAAATCTTTGCCAGTGTTTATGTCCAGAATGGTATTTCCTAGATTATCTTCCAGAGTTTTTATAGTTTTAGGTTTTATATTTAAGTCTTTAATCCATCTTGAATTGATTTTTATATATGGCATAAAAAGGGGTCCAGTTTTATTCTTTCTGTATGTAGCTAGCCAGTTATCTCAGCACCACTTATTCAACAAGGAAGCCTCTCTCTGCTTTTTTTTTTTTCCTTTGTCAACTTTGTTGAAGATCAGATGGTTGGAGGTTTGTAGCATTACTACTGGGCTCTCTACTCTGTTCCATTAATCTATGGGTCTCTTTTTCCACCAGTACCATGATGTTTTGATCACTGTAGCATTGTAGTATAGTTTGAAGTCAGGTAACATGGGTAACATGTTGCTTCCAGCTTTGTTCTTTTTGCTTAGGCTTATTTTGGCTATTTGGGCTCTTTTTTGGTTCCATATGAATTTTAAAATATTCTTATCTAATTCTCTGACGAATGACATTGGTAGATTGATAAAAATACCATTGAAACTGTATTTTGCTTTGGGCAGTATGGCCATTTTAACAATATTGATTCTTCTTATCCATGAGCACAGAATGTTTTTCCATTTGTTTGTGTCATCTCTGATTTCTTTGTGTAGTGTTTTATAATTCTCATTGTAGAGATCTTTCACCTTCCTAGTTAGGATATAATACCTATTCCTAGATCTTTCACCTTCCTAGTTAGAATATAACACCTATCCCTAGGTATTATATTCTTTTTGTGGCTATTGTGAATGGAATTGTGTTCCTGATTAGACTCTTAGCTTGAGCATTATTGGTGTATATAAATGTTCATGATTTTTGTACACTGATTTTGTATTCTGAAACTTTTCTGAAGTTGTTTCTCACTTCTAGGAGCTTTTGGGCAGAGACTATGAGGTCTTCTAAATGTAAAATTATATCATCTGCAAACAGGGATAGTTTTACTTCCTCTCTTCCTATTTGGATGCCTTTTATTTTTTCTCTTGGGTAATTGCTCTAGCTAAGACTTCCAGTACTATATTAAGTAGGAGTGGTGAGAGAGGGTATACTTATCTTGTTTGGTTCTCAAGGGGAATGCCTCCAGCTTTTGCCTATTCAGTATGATATTGGCTGTGGGTTTGTCATAGATGGCTCTTACTATTTTGAGGTATGTTCCTTCAATGCCTAGTTTGTGAACAGTTATTAACATGAAGGGATGTTGAATTTTATCAAAAGCCTTTTTGCATGTTTTGAAATGATCCTGTGGTTTTATGTTTTTAGTTTTGTCTATGTGATGAATCACATTGATTGTCTATCTTGAACCAATCTTGTAGCCCAGGGATAAAGCCTATTTGATCATGTTGGATCAGCTTTTTGATGTGCTGCTGGATTTGATTTGCTAGTATTTAGGTTGAGCATTTTTGCATCTATGTTGATTATGGATTTTGTCCTCAAGCTTTCTTTTTTTGTTGTGTCTTTGCCAGGTTTTGGTATCAGAATGGTGCTGGCCTCATAGAATGAATTAGGAAAGAGTCCCTCCTACTCATTTTTTTAATAGTTAAATAACTTTCTAGAGGTATATAGTACATATAGTAAAATCTACCCATTTCAAATATACAATTTAATGGTTTTTAGTAACTATATCAGGTGGTTCTTCCATCATTATAAACCAGTTGTAGAACATTTCATTCCCCCAGTATTATCTCATGCTCATGGACGGTTAATCCTTGTTCTCATCCCCAGCTGCAGACAACCACTTACTTACTTTGTCTTAAAAACTTACAGTTTCTGGACATTTAACATAACAATATAAATTAGGTGTTAGGTATTAAACAGTCTATTGGATAGAAAGAAATTAGAACAACTGGACTGTGATTCCTTTCCCTCCTTATTTAGTGAAAAAGAAAAGTGATTCTCCTGGGAATAAAAGAAGGCATGCAAATGATCTAATCTCCATATACAATGTCATAACTGGACCTCATGGTAAAATAGCAAGTGACCGCTCTTATCTGTAGAATGCTTTTGGGAGAATGTATATGATTGTTTAATGGTAATCAAACATAGGATTTATAGACTTATAGGGTAAAATGTTACATAAGCAAGGTGGCCATCAAAGTATAAAATGGATATTTCACAGCCTAAAGGCTATGTTCTTTCCAGAAAGCCTGCAGCCAAAGACTGATTACGGCAGGGGTATTAGGGTATGGCTGTCTCTTCCCAATTTAGGGCCCTAATGGGCAAGCATTTTCTTCAAAATTCTCCATTGAGGGCAAGGTATTCTAGTGATCCAGGCATATCAAAGTTGTCTGTGCAAGTAATGGGTGGGATGCCAAGGAACAAAAAATCATTTAAAAAACATTTATATTATACAGATCCTCCATAATGGCAAAATTTTTTAAACTGGCAACACAGAATTTTGACATGAATATATAACATCCAGAACTCTCTTGAATTACTGGTTGGCATGCAATATGGTACAGCTTCTTTTGAAGAATATTAGCTTCTTAGAAAACTAAATGTATAGCCATTCTATGACCCAGCTATTCTACTCACTGGAATTCATTCAAGAGAAATGAAAAGCTGCTCAAAGACTCTTACAGGGATGTTCATTATAGCTTTATTCGATAGCCCTATTGCAAACAGCCTAATTGTTCATATAAAGAAGAATGAATAAGCAAACTGTGGTGTTATCTGTAGAACAGAAAATAGAAATATACAGGAAGAAATTACTGATACACATAACATAGATGGATTTCTAAAACATTATGCTGAGTAGAAGAATCCTTAACCAAAAGAGTACAGAATATATTATTCTATTTATGTGAGGCTCTAGAAAAGGCAAATTAATCTACAATGAAAAAAATTATAATAGCGATTGCCTCTTGGGTGGGGAAGGAGGTACAGGGATTGACTGGGAATAGACTTTAAAAATGTTCTAGGCTAATGTTAATGGTGTACTGTATATCTTGATAGAAATTTGGTTTACATAGTTTTATGCATTTCTCAAGCTCAGAAAACATAATTTAAGCTTTATTTATTATGTTATACAGTATATACATTTTACCTCTAGAGGAAAAAGATATTTAAAATATTGTTTGTTTGTTTTGTGTGTGTTTTGTTTTGGGTGTTTTTTTGTTTTGTTTTGTGTTTTGTTTTGTTTTGTTTTGCTTTGTTTTGTTTTTAACTGGGTCTCATTCTATAGCCCAGGCTGAAGTGCAGTGATGTGATCTTGGCTCACTGTACCTTCTGCCTCCCAGGCCTCAAGCTATCCTCAAGTAGCTGGGATTAAAGCCATGTGCCACCATGCCTAGATCATTTTTGTACTTTTTATAGAAACAGGATTTCGCCATGTTTCCCAGGCTGGTCTTGAACCCATGAACTCAAGTGATCCACCCACCTTGGCTTCACAAATTGCTGGAATTACAGGCAAGAGCCACTAACACCATGCCCAGTCCAGAATTTCAGTTTTCAATCAAGCAAAAAATATTCAATTATTTTATGCATCTAATATTTTCTAAGTCAAGAAAGTATTTCAAAAGCAATTTTAACAAGGTTTAAAATTAAAATAGGGCTCTCTCCTTAACAAATAGATAACTAATTTTATGTCAGCTAAATACCCTATTCTAGAGTTGGCTGGTTTATTCACACATAATGAATGAGTAGGGAAAAAAATGGCCATATATTCTGAGTAGATATCATAAGCTCATGCTTCTTAAAGTAGGGTAAATATATTCTGTAATATCCTAAAGAATATATGAAACAACAGGATAAACATGTCACGTTTAGCAAAGTATTCATTTTCTTTGAGAGTAGATCATTTTAAACGTTATATTAGTATTAAGATAACATGGGTATAATATGGAATAAAATTTTAAAAATTTGCACCAATATAGATTTTTAAAGAGTAGAAATATGTTTTGAATGATTTCATGAAGAATATTAAAAGTTGGACAGGTGTGATGCCTCATACCTGTAATCCCAACACTTTGGGAGGCCAAGGTGGTTGGATCACTTGAGGTCAAGAGTTTGAGACCAGGCTGGCCAACATGATACAACCCTGTCTCGATTAAAAATACAAAAATTAGCTGGGCATGGTGGTGGGTGCTTGTAATCCCAGTTACTTGGGAAGCTGAGGCAGCAGAATCGCTTGAACCCAGGAGACTGAGGTTGCACTGAGCCAAGATCGCGCAGCTGCACTCCAGCCGGGACAACAGAGCAAGATTCTGTCTCAAAAAAAAAAGAAAAATGTTAAAAGTTAGGCTTCTGAGTACAAATGGCCTTTTTCTATTGACTTCGTAAAAATCAATGTGAATACTACATTCTATTATTGATATCTATGCTGTCTCATCAGTATCACTATAGGAAATTTAAAAAAAAAAAAAAACAGATCAGGAACTCTCTGCTACCATATGGAAAAATTCAAAACAATCTATGAAATCTACTTTTATGATTTCTCTCGCTGTCTTATTACCAGCCACAAGTGGGAAAGACAACAAAGAGTAAATGCACTTCCCCAGATTTAGACTCTTGAGCAAGTGGACAATGATATTTGCTGTGATGGACTTGTCCCTGACATGGGCAATGTCCCTGGCCACAGCAAGATGTGGCCCCAAATCTTCCTGCAGGATAACCTCAGAGGCAGCTCTTCCTGCCAGGTTCCCCCAGTCCCATGAGCAACTATCTTGAGTCCCGCTTCTTTGCCAACCAACAATTCTGTGAGCCAGGAAAAAAAATTTCTAGTAGATTTATTTTCTTGCTTAAGTTCATCACAGTTGATTGTTGTTTCTAAGCAGCAAAGACAGATC